CCAGTTCCCTCGGTCTCTTTGCAGCTAGTAGATAGCATGCCTACGCCGATTTTTGAGAGCCGCGAATTTGTTCAATACTGTATTCAGTCGGAAAACGGAGCAGTTGATGGTAGGTGCTTGGCACGACTTGCATCATATGTAACCATGTTCTGCCCATGATCAGATTATATGGCGAAGGGAGCTTAACAACCAGAAATTCCACGTCTACTGATCTGGTGTCAGCCCGTACAAATAGTGTGATCTTATCCAAAGGATACTTCAGGTTAGCATTGAAGCCGAATAACGGATAATCAGCTGGAGACAGGTCCGAATCAGTAAAACCAAGTTTGACAAAAGTTTTGTAATACATTATCTCCGAAGTGCTGCCCTGGTCAACGAGGACATGCTTGACGGCGAATCTATTTACACGTAGCTTGACGACGAGGGGATTAGTGTGGGGGTGGATCACTCCAACTAAATCACTGTCATCGCAACTAATCCTTCCAGTGTCGCGTGGCCGTTTCACTAGCGTCATGGAGTTATGTGTGCTAGACGGCAACTGGATTTTGTGCACCTCACTTGGTGCCCACAAGCTGTATATCATATGGATTACACCAAGAGAGGGTGACTCCGGCTGTAAAGCTACTGTATTTGTTGAACTGTTCTATCGGACATATTGCGTAAGACGACCGTCTTGCACCAACTCTTCCAGGTGATCTCTTAAATAAAAACAATTATCGGTGTCGTGGCCATGGTCCTTATGATACTCACATCGTTTATCTTGTCTCCTTGCATCGGGGGGTCCGGTCATCTTGTGTGGCCACTTGAAGGACGGAAGATGTTGTATTTTTTACAGGATCTTATTGATCGACTCTATCAGCTCCGTGTATTTCTTGCCCAGACGCCTTGTCCGCCTGCTATCCACTTGATATTGTTCATTAGCTCAACGTGAACATTGGTTGTTTGATCGGCGCGAATCATGCCTTTTGTCTTGTTTAGGTCGATTCTACCGCTCGGGGCTTCTTGACGGCACGACACTAAGCAGATGAACAATTCCCGACATGGCCGGCTGAACGGCTTTATGCCCGGCTTTGACTCGAAGGGCATTGTTTTCCACTTTGCAGTACTCTTCAACCTTCTTCATTAATGCCCAGACGATTTTGGGGGGACGTCTGGTTAACGAACTGTGGAGGGGGCTATCAGGATGCAATCCCATCTTAAAGGCGGTGATGGCCATGGAATCATTGCAAGCGTCATCTACCAGATTAAAGCACTCCCAATAGCGGGCCGAGTATTCACGAAGAGTTTCTTCCGGTTTAATTTGCATGGCCCAGAGAGAATTGGCTTGCTTTGGCTGGACCTCATTAGTGATGAATCTCGCCTTGAATGACTGTTAGAGTTGGTGGAAACTCTTAATCGATTCCGGCTTCAGTTTATAGTACCAGCTCATGGCCAGTGGTCCCAGACTAATTGGAAATATCCGACACATGAGGGCTTCGTCATCGGCATGGAGCGTCATCGCTTGCTTGTAATGATGAATGTGATCAGTGGGATCTGATTTTCCGTCGTAGAGGGTGAACGACGGTGCCTTGAACTTTTTAGGTAGCATAGCCCTGGCAATTCGTCGTACGAATGGGTCATGTTTATCTTCCTCATCCGAATCATCGCTTTTTCTTCGTCTATGCCGTTCATATGGACTTCCTTCAGACGAGCTGGATGCATCAACGAGCCCTTTCTTTCTGGGCTCCGGGGATGGTGAGTCTGAATCACTATCATTATTGCGTTTCTGAAGTCGACGTCGACGACCATCCTTCTTTCCTGGAGGTCAATCCCAATCTTGGCATGCGGCTTGCTTGGATTTCGCCACCTCCAAGGCCAAATTCTGGTGCAAGCACTCATTTTCAGCCATCATGATCTCCAGCCACTCTTCATTTTGCTTTGCCTGATCCATTATTGTCTGTATTGTCTCATACATTGAAGCTGAGGGTAAGGTCTGAGCTACTGCGTCAAAGTTCAAGGCACGTCGCGCGGTGATATTATCTGGTCCCAACATGTTTCTTGGAGTGAGGTCATCCCTCGGTGTAGTTTCATCAGCGACTATCGGAGGATCTTCCGTTACGCCCACCATGGATGTACTTGAGTATTCCCACAGACGGCGCTAGTTGTGGTGAAATGGTTTGGAAATACTCCTAGATCCTGAGCAGGTGTTCCGGATCGTCAGCTAATCACCTGAAAATGAATGAACACTCCGGTCAAGGGTGTCGGAATTAGCACTCCGACGGATAAGTCAGTGTATACTCTCTTAGTTGCTTGTAAATTAAGTTTTTTAGATCTGTTCTCACATACCTTTCTTTGGCTGATGTTCTTCTATTTATATCTGCTCCTGGGCCTCAGGGTCGGGCCCACTTTTAATCCACCGTGTGGTTGTTCACTCGGCTTTTTCTGTCGTAAACCAATTCCTACTCGGCCCCTCGTTCAACTGGTTCTATGGCCGATTAGGATATTCGGCTTCTGGATGGTACAAGACGGGGCCGAATTTAATATACATCTTGATATTGCAAACGTGTACTTGGCCTATTTGCATCCCATATTATTCGACTACCACAATCTGATTTTCACTTTCTATATTCTTATAGTTTATCTTCAAATTCAAATATAATTTATTTTTATTTTTATCTTATATTTATAAAATTTTACTCTGACCTTTCTTTTTTAGTTGAGATCAATCAAATCTATTATTTAAGTATCTATCTAAATTAATATCATAGAATTTTTTTATTAATTTTTAACATATATGGTATTATTTATCACCTTCTGTTACTTGCCCATGCATAACACGAGTTACCACTAGTTATATATTATGCAAATGCATGATAATTAGTCAGAATATTCTTAACTACGTCAATCCGTCAAAAATCGCCCAAACCGCAATTTGTCAAACTGCTAATCTGCCAACCCGTCACTTGGTTTGTAATTTTATTCTCAAACTGCCCGAACCGCATCGCACATACCCCTACATATGGCTAGGAGTGTAAAAATAGCCTGCGGCCTGTGGGCGGTATGAAGCCTATCCGCGGCTTGGGATGGGCCCAACCTGGTTAGGCCCAGGCCTAAGCCCAGCCCCAGACCCTGGCCTTGTGCCGTCATTTTGAAGCCTGACCCAGCTTGCCTAGGCTAGCCCGTGGCCCGTCCCATCGGCTTGCTCAAGGCCCACTCAAAGCTCAACTTGAGGCTAGGCACGCCTGAGACCCAGTGTCATTTTTAGTAGAAAATAATAAAATTTTGGTGAAAAATAATTTTTTTAAAAAATGTTTAGGCCCGCACAAACCCGACCCAGGCCTACCAGCCCCGCTTAAGGCTCGAATATCTCCTAGTCCTGGGCCTAATTTTTCTAGCCTGTGGGCCGGCTCGGCCTAACCCAAATTTTGGTGGAAGCCCGTGAGACTCGACATGGGTAGGCCCGAGCCCCAGCCAGGATGGGCCGGATCAAGCCAAATTTACGCCCCTAGATATGGCCACTTCGTTTTTCTAGGGGCTTGCTTCCCTCCAGTCCGTAATTGGAATGGAGGGTACTGTTGGGCCAATAATCTAAACCGTTCAATGTGTATAACTCGTCAAGTACTATATGCTTGTAAAAAATTACATTGATCAGATATTGATAGCTATGTGATCAAATCATTTTTGTATAAAACAAATAGATGGCGAAAAAATAAACGGTTGACTGAAATCTGATCTGATGAGATAACTATCGATATTCGATCAACGTGATTTTTTTCCAAGCATATAGTATTCGACGAGTTCTATACATTAAACAGTTTGAATTATCAAAACGGGGCCTGTGATGAATCTCACACACCCAACAGTACTCTTCAATCCGATCATGGGCTGGTGAGAAGCCCAACCCTTTTTCTACTATATAATACTAGAATTGAGCCATTTGCTACCGTTATTTACTGTTCATACCATGTCTGTTTCCCTTTTCCCATTTAGTCAATTTGTGTGATTATTTTTATTTTATTTTATTTTTTTTTAGGGGTATTGTGGAAAATTCACCCCTTTATGCCATCCACGGTTTTCTTTCCAACCATAGAGATCATCATTGCCTCTTTATTATTATTATTATTATTATTATTATTATTATTATTATTTATAATTTTAATTTTGAATTTATGATTTTATCTCAATTTAATCCAATTACTTGTAACTGTTAGTATTTTTTAATAAAAAATATGCATATAAATGACATGACATTCTTTTAGAGGCAAAAGTATAAACTTGCTCAGCTTGGTGAGTTAACTTTAACTAATTCAATGATAATTTTTTGTCAAAAACACTAACGACGTTTTTAATTGGACTAAATTGACACAAATTTAAAATTAAGTGTCAAAATTAATCTAATTGAAATTGTAAACCAAAATGACACAAGAGAAAAAATGTAAAGACTACCACTATAATTTTTCCTTTTTATTTTTATAAATTGAAACTTTTGTTTCTTCAAAATCACTTTTCTTTTTTTTGGTCTTTAAAAATGTGGATTATTTGATTTTTTTCCTTTTCATAAACTGAAAGTTTTGTTTTGTTTTGTTATCCACTTCTATTTTTCCTTTTATTTATTTATTTATTACACGTACCAATTTCTCACTCTAAAGGATTATAAAATATCTTTACAGTGACAACCTAAGGAAGATCAATTCACTGTTTGTTTCTTATTATATGTAACTTAATATTTTCACAGATCTATATCAAAAATTGTATCAAAATAATTTTAATAGATTATTGAACATTTTGGATTGGACCATATGACTCCATGTCAAAATGTAAGTTTTTAATTTTTAATTTTCGTTTGAAAAAAAAAAAGTTTAATGATATTATCTGATAGTTTCCATTTTCTGATAGTTAACAATCTACTTCTACAACTGGAAGATATCTAATAAATGGTGTGATAATATTAAAACCCCATCATTTTAGAGAAGATTCAAAAAATGGCAGATTAAAAATACTCAGAAACAAAGTTCACTTACCTTGAGAACTTCCATTTCTTCTTTCGTTGGACATAATTTTATCAGATTTTGAACTTCATCAATGTCCAGTGCGGAATCATCCAAAGCAAGGACTGAACTCTGTACGAGATTTGTACCAAAGCAACAATTAAAGGGAATATTTATTAAAAGCAATATTTTTATTTTTAAATATATATATACAAAAAAATAAAATAAAAAAATGTATCTCAACCACGTGTGCAGAGCTACAATTGGAACAAAAACATAATTTGGCACATAAATATTGATATGATAAATGGATATCAGCCCAATATTTTCAAGCCAAGGGTTATGGCTACTGGTAAGTTCTTCTAACCTCAAGTAAAGTACTCTACTCACAATTGGAATTTATGGTTACTGGTAAGTTCAATGTCCTAACCTATGGCTACTATTGTAGTTATTCCAAAAAACATTGAATGTGCATCATCGTTCTGCAAACATTAACTAAACAAATTTGTAGTAATTCTGGGAGTAGGTTGCATAGAATATAATTAACTTTCAGGAATTTTACAAAGGGTTATTCATTTCAGAATTTTATTGATCCTTGAAGTAGAGATTCCTTTATGTGTAAAATTTTCCAAAGAAAATTCAAAGGGATCAATATTGGAACTTAAAAATTGTAAGGAATCAATAAGCACCAAACTCAACCTCACAGATTCACCAACGGTGTCTTGAATCAGATACATCCATGTTCATCATCTCAACTCCTTTCCATCATCCTCATCAAATCCCTCACTACTACGAAACTTAACCTCACAGATTCACCAATGGTGTCGCGAAGACCACTCCAATCACCAAACCTCCCTCAACCCACCAACCCAACCCAAAACCATTGGATACCATCTCAACCAATTGTGCCAAAACAGCTAAATACCTCGCCCATCAACTGTTAGACTCAATTCCACACCCAAAAACCATTCTTTGGAACATTGTTATGACAAGATTTGTTTGCAATGGGATGCCCAACAAAGCCATGTTTTCCTATTTCCGAATAAAAGAAAACCAGAAATACCAAATGTAATTTCTATACTTACTTCTTCCCCAAAACTATATTAAAATCCAAATGGTGGAGCAGAATGGAAGAACATGGAAGAAGGCTTGAAGGTGGAGGATGGCAACCAGTGGTACGTCGGCATGGCGGACGGAGTGAGTGGAACAGTAAGTCAGTTACAAATATAATTCTATTTTTGTGGATAACCTTCCAGAATCCATGGGGACCAGAGGGCTATACAACATTTTCTCTAATTATGGGATAGTCATGGACGTTTTCATCCCAAATAAGAGACGCAAGATGACAAGATCTCGCTTTGGGTTTGTAAGATATAACTGTTCTGTAGCAGCAGACATAGCAGTTCAAAAGGCACATGGGCTTTGGTGTGATGACAGAGCATTGAAAGTTAAGATGGCAGATTTTGGCAAGGAGTCTGGTCCGCAATCCAGATTGAACAAAGCACCACAAACTAGAAAAGTCATAGCTGCTAATATCACACATACTGTTGGCCATCAAAGGAACAGATCTTTTGCTAAGGTTGTGAGTGGCAGAGGAGCTCAAACAAATGCAATCCGAACTATTAAGGCTTATGAGGAAGGTAATGGTTGGTTGTATGAAAGTGTGGTAGTAAGATTAAAAGCATCATCATCAATGGATACTTTTAAGGAGGACATCGCTAGGAGAGGCTTTGGGAAAGTAACGGTCAGCTGGGGGGGTGGAAGAGATGTGGTTCTCTCATTCAACTCAGTTGCAGATATGAAGGACAAACTTCAGAGAATGCAGGGTTGGCTCAATGATTGGTGTGATTCAGTCCAAGAATGGCGACAAGGGTTGGTTATTGAACAAGAAAGATATGTCTGGCTTAGTTGCTATGGTGTCCCGTTGAATTTATGGAGTTTTAAAACATTTAGTAGTATTGGGGAAACTTGGGGAGCAGTGCTCGCCATTGATGAGGATACACTTCGGCTTAATTCGCTGCATTGTGGCCAGGTGAAGATAGCCACGTCCAGTATGGAGTCTATAAACCATATCATAAACCTGGAGTGCAAAGGTACAATATACCCAGTGAGGGTTTGTGAGGAACAAATACTAGTTTCTAAATCAACGTCTGATCAGTGTACATCTCAACCCACTGAATGGAAGAACGCAGGGAAGAAAATTTCAGAGGCACTTGCAGATGACCAACTTACAGACATAAACAATAGACATGAGGTAGAAGATGATGATGTGGACATCCAGCTGGGCAAGAAAGAAGACATAAGAGATGAGGTGGTTGGAGAGGGGAACAGTGTCTTACCTGCTAACTCAGATGAACTGGAC